TAATTCCAGTAATCAGGTTAATTTGTATATATATATATATATATACACAATAAATTCCGGATTATTCAACAATACTTTTTCGTCTCCAGTATTCTCCGATCACGTTATCAAATTCTCATGATGATAGCATTACGCGCGATTTTTTTTAGCATGGCCTTGATGAGAACGTCGACTCGATAATAAGTTCAGATAATCCAGAAGATAAAAAGTCGCTGTCGAATAATCCGGATTCTACTGTATATGTGTTTTATATATATGTAAGTAATATGTAAGAATCAAATAATTGAAAGAATATTAATTGCAATATCAAATATAATTAATTTTATGTATATAAATTTTTATATCGTAAATAAAAAACGTATAAGAGAGAGGGAATATAATAAACGGAATTGAATAGCTTACTTTGCCCTTTATTTATTGTTATTTAATTTATAATAGCTTTGTTGCACCGTTAGGAGATACGAATCAAAATTATTTTGAAAAAGTCTACCAAATAGTGTATAATTACCTAGTTACAAATTGACTGATTTTTTGCTGATGAATTTTATTGTATATATCTATAAGCATATCTATAAGCAATTTCGGTGATTTGTGTAGTAACTAATAAGAAAAGAACAAAAAACGGGTGTAAAATTTTATTTTATTTTTATAAGGAAATTTATTATAGACTAGTAAAACTGTTTATCGAGCAATTCTTTTGAAATACAACAGCACAAAGTATTGCAGCAATATTAATGCAACATTTTGTGCTATAGAAAAAGTTTTGAACACAAATGTACGAAAAGGAATTTCCCAGGTTCTTCAATAGAACGGAAAAAATAACCAAAAATGTTAAAAAAAATGTTTGATTAAGTTTTACTTTAATCTCTCTCTTAAAAATTTTTTCAAGTATTAATTCAAATATTAATAATTTAAACAGCAGCGCCAAAGAAAGATAAAATTTCACGACACTCTCTCTCTCTCTCTCTCTCTCTCTCTCTGATGCTGTTTTTTATCAGTCATTACGAAAATAGCCAAATCTTTTTACAAACTCACAAAAAAAATCAAGAGCAAAAATCAATTAACTTAGAACCACGCTACTTGGCAAAATTTTCCAAAATAGTTTTGATTCCTAACAGCAATTAAGC